GTCAATATTATGAAAACAACAGAATCAGTGTCAAGGGTGACTTCATGGTTCTCTTGGGTCAGAATAAACAGGGCTAATAGCCCTGGTTTACTTTCCTCTCTTATTTTCTATGGGTTTATGAGAAGTAAGGAATTCTAAGTGCTGGGCAAAGGATGTGAGGAGGGGGCTCTTGATGGGGCAGAGCCAATTTAGGGAGCTGAGTTCTTTTTTTTTTTTCTTTTAATTTTTTTCATACATTTAATCACAATATATCACTTAGCTTTTAAAGCGAATTTATCCAACATGAATACACCTCACACCAGTCCAGTTGAGGATGCTATACACATTACCATAAACAGACAACAATCCATTTCTGTGTGCCATAAATATCTCAGCATCAAATTATTAAGGCCAGGGAAAGGAAGGGTAAGGATTGAGGACTTTGAAATGGACTTCTACTCTGCATCTGGGATTCCTGCTCCTCCATTTTTGATAGAGGGTTAAGATATTGTTTATAAATCTTCCAGAAACATTACTTAGATTTGCTAAGATAGCTTAAATTTTCAGAAGAAATTACAAGCACAGGGCTTCTCCCTGGGGATTAGGACAGTGTGGGGTCCTTCTAAAAAAGAAAAGAAGAAAGGATAAGCAAAAGATGAGCAAAGCAAAACAAACAACTACAAGATTTGTTTTAGTTTATTTTTCCTTTTTTTTTTTCTTTTAATTTTTTTCATACATTTAATCACAATATATCACTTAGCTTTTAAAGCGAATTTATCCAACATGAATACACCTCACACCAGTCCAGTTGAGGATGCTATACACATTACCATAAACAGACAACAATCCATTTCTGTGTGCCATAAATATCTCAGCATCAAATTATTAAGGCCAGGGAAAGGAAGGGTAAGGATTGAGGACTTTGAAATGGACTTCTACTCTGCATCTGGGATTCCTGCTCCTCCATTTTTGATAGAGGGTTAAGATATTGTTTATAAATCTTCCAGAAACATTACTTAGATTTGCTAAGATAGCTTAAATTTTCAGAAGAAATTACAAGCACAGGGCTTCTCCCTGGGGATTAGGACAGTGTGGGGTCCTTCTAAAAAAGAAAAGAAGAAAGGATAAGCAAAAGATGAGCAAAGCAAAACAAACAACTACAAGATTTGTTTTAGTTTATTTTTCCTTGTCTTTTAGTTTCTAAATAGAGTGATTTAGTTCTTACTTCCTTTAGAGCTCCAAATGTCTGAGTGCATACAAATGGCTCTAATAACTAACAGCTGCACAGGCTGAAAGGCCATTTAGAAGTGACCTAGTCCTTGTACCTGCCTGGTAGAGAGATTGCAAAAGATTAGGCTGGAGCTATAGTGCTAGATGCCCTGAAGGGTGAGACTCTGGCTGTCTCCCTCCACATTCCTTCATTTCTCTGTTGCAGTCTTCAAAGGTCTAGCCTTATGTTTCACCTCCAGCAATAGCTGTTCATGTTATGCTACTTAGATGCCTCCTTTCCATGCCAGCTGAATCTTCCCCCTTTTAATTTCTAACATCTCTATATCAGTGCCCAGTCTTGCCATTGCGAGAGTAACTGCTATTTAGTATGCATGCAGGTATGTATTTGTACATAGATGTCGAGTGGCAATCAAGGTGAGAAACTGAGGAGAAGGGAAAGATTTTGGGAACTTCATACATTTTAAGATATCTTGTTCCTGTTTTTATGAAGGAAAAAGTGCTCTGTGTACTGTGATTCAATTTTTTGCAATGCCTTCTGACATGCCTTATCTCATGCAATTTCACACAGTAAAGTGAAGTTGCTATTATCTCTGCATTTTATTTAGAGGCAAAATTTGTATTATGAGCCCTGGAATCTGATCACCACTTCACTCTTCCTACAGAGGCCATATATGCCAAACTATGGTTCTTTCCCCATATGTTTCCTAAGGCACAACATTTGATCCTGGGAATTGCCTTGTATGCCCATAAGGAATTGCTGGAAGGCATGGACATTTGGACCTCTGGAGCACCAGAGCCTTCTAGCTGATGCCTCCAGTTGAGGGATTCTAGGTTACTTCTGCTCTCAGGCACAAGCTGTACTAAGCAGTACAGTCCACTTGGGACAAGACTTTGCAGCTTCCCTGTTTCCTGTATATCCTCTCACATTCTCTGGCTCCCTGGGTAAGAAAGAGCTTTACTATATGACTCGAAGGTTTTTGTTCTGAACTAAGATCACCCTGCTCTGACCTTACAAATAGTTTTTCATCCTTCTCAAAAATCTCCGTAGTTCATAGCTGGCTGTCCTACCTATCCACTTGACTGTGTTATCTTCATTAGAAGCTTATTGATGGGTTCTTCTATTCCTAAATCTAATTTTAGTCTTCAGGAAACATTAACAAATTTATAGAGTAGTTTCCCTGGCATTAAGGAGTTTGTAACTTAGGGAAAAATTAATTTAGCAATAATTATGGTTAATATTATCAGGAGAATAAATACAGAAAAAGAGATCTTAAAGGTTATTTCAAAGCACAGAGCAATAATTATTTAATTATACAAAAGAGGGTGGGGGCAGATAAAGAGGCTTAGAAGAAGTAGCATCGGAGAGAGACAATAAGTCAGGATAGTAAAAAAAAAGTGAGAGTGGGTCATCAAGGAGGGAGATCTGGGAAGAGCCGCTTTTCTTGACAAAAGACTGAGAAGTAAAAAAGACAAAAAAAAAGTTGCAGAGTCATGGGAATCAATACTACATGTTGGAAACAACAGAAACTCCAGTGTGGCTGGAGTGTAGAGGCCTTGGTGAGGACTGGTGTTGTAGAAACCGAGGGCCAGTGTAAATTAGACTTTCATCCCTGACTGAATATGCTTAGTCCAGATTCTACAATCAATTTGGAGTTTCCAGAGTAGGTTTTTAGAACAATGATAGTGACTCAATTTTATCTGGTTATATTATTGGGACTTCACATGTGAGAAAGGTTGCACTGGAGAATGGCAACCAGGATTAGAGTGTCTGGCTTGTGTAACTGTTTAGACTATAGTACTAACATAAAAGGAAATACTGGAAGACAGTGGTTAATCACAACAGACATTATAGTATAAAAACCCCTGTATGTTAGGTGTTGTATTGAATGCTTTTCATTCATCATCTCATTTAATTCACATATTACATTGACCCCTGTTAGGCAGGGACTATTATCCGTAGTTTGAAGATAAAGAAACTGAGGCTTAGTAAAATTAAATGTGCTCGGGTCACACATCTCATGATGTTTTTGATTGTGATTTAAATGCAGAACTGATGCTGAAGTTCACGTTTCTAATAGCTCTACAATATTGCCTCCAGAGGAGTTTGTTTGGAGACTGAGTTTGATGTATCAGGAGACAGACTGGTGCACCCTTTCAGTTGAGAATTATGAATCTGTGTCACAAAAGAGAATTTAGTACTCACTAAAGAGACTTGAGCATCAATAATTTATGTATAGAATATGGATTTACTGAAGGCATAAAATGATCTGGGAAGAGAATAGGAAGAACACTGAAGGTAAAATTTGGAGAGTTTACCAATTAAGGAAGAGTCAAGTAGAGGATAAAGATCCAGTAGGGAGACCAAGAGCTAGTGACCAGAGAGAGAAAGGAGAAAGAAAAATTAAGGAGGAAGGAACTGTTCAGGGTCACTTGCTATAGAGGACATGAAGGAGTGAAGGGACACTGATACCTTTGGCCCTTTCACTATAGTTCTACATTAAGTGTGGTTCCTCTGCACTAAACCTTCTCCCTCCGGAAGTTTGCATTAAACTCTGTCATGTTCTATGTTTTCCATTGAACTCTGTCTTTGGACTGAGGGAAGCCCTGAATGTTTGCTACTTTGTGGAACAAATATGATCTGTGACACATCCTGAGCCAGTGAGTAGTGAAAATTCCTCCTGATGCTGGTCATGGCCCTGCCTTACAGAAATCTGCTTACTGGCAACCTGCACAGGAAGCCGCTTCCCAATTCTAAGCCTCTCTTTATGGGGGTACAGTCTCATTTTAAAGCAGGCATTCAGTGATTTTTACATATATATTATATTATTTTTACATATATATTATTATACATATTTTAAATATGTATGTATTTAAGATTTTTTGTGAGCATTTAGGCAAGAAGGAAATGTAGACCTGGAGTTTAGGATGAAGTTAGTCTCAGTTTTTCTGTTTTAAAATTGGATTATGATTTATACTAATAAAATAGGTTTTATTAAGATTTAAGGTTTTATTAAGTTTCAGATTAAGATTATGTAGCTATTAAATGTGAAGTAAAATGTTAAATTTAGGGATAAGGCTAGAATTGAGTTCATTAGATTAACAATGAGATTAGGTTTCAATGTTAATCTGTGTTACCACTGTACATTAGTTCTGAATTTGCCTTAAAGTTAATCTAAATGATATCAATACAATTAGTTAGTACTAAGCATAGGAGAGTATAAGAGTAGTAACAGATAAAGAAAATGATGGGACTTAAAAATCACCTAAGACTTATGTATATTTGGTCAGAAGTTTTTCTTGGGAGAATTAAAATATGCTTAGTATTTTTGCCTTAGTATTTCATTTGCTCTTAGAATTGTTGATATAAGTGGGGTTACTAAATAGGACTGAGTATATTTGTATTTTGTCTTTTTAAAAATAATTATTTTATTTAACCTTATTTTATTTATTTTTATTTGAGTAGAGAGGGACAGAGTGTGAGAGAGAGCCAGAGAGAGAGAGGGAAAGTGAGAAAGCAAGCCACCAAGTCTAGGACTTGAACTATGGTCTGTCATGTGGGAGTCCAGCACCCTTAACCACCACAACACCTGCTGGCCCCTGTATTTGTTCTTTAAATTATGGCTAGACTGAATGTAGAATAAGGTCAGACTTTGGATAGAAATTGAAATTAGAGTTTCAGTTAGATAATAGGCATGGAGGGACATGTGATATTTGGATTCTGGAGTATCTGACAATGACTTATCTTTGAATTGCAGCTTCTACTTGCCTGTTTCTGATCATAGCTCGGCTTCTTCACTAGGATGGGCCCTCATGGCAATGAATCCAGTGTCACATATTTTATCCTAATAGGCCTCCCAGGCTTGGAGGAGGCTCAGTATTGGTTGGCCTTTCCACTGTGCTCCCTCTACCTTATTGCTGTGCTAGGTAACCTGACGATCATCTACGTGGTGCGGACCGAGCACAGCCTGCATGAGCCCATGTATGTTTTTCTGTGCATGCTTTCTGGCATTGACATCCTCATCTCCACCTCATCCATGCCAAAAATGATGGCCATCTTCTGGTTCAATTCCACTACCATCCAGTTTGATGCGTGCTTGATACAAATGTTTGCCATACACTCTTTATCAGGTATTGAGTCCACAGTACTGCTGGCCATGGCCTTTGACCGTTATGTGGCCATCTGTCATCCACTCCGCCATGCCACTGTGCTCACATTGCCTCGAGTTATCAAGATTGGCATGGCTGCAGTGGTACGAGGAGCTGCACTGATGGCACCCCTGCCGATCTTCATCAAACGGCTCCCCTTCTGCCACTCCAACATCCTTTCCCACTCCTATTGCCTCCACCAAGATGTCATGAAGCTGGCCTGTGCTGATATCCGTGTCAATGTCATCTATGGCCTCATTGTCATCATCTCTGCCATCGGCCTGGATTCACTTCTCATCTCCTTCTCCTATCTGCTTATCCTGAAGACTGTATTAGGCTTGACACGTGAAGCTCAGACAAAGGCATTTGGCACGTGTGTCTCTCATGTGTGTGCTGTTTTCATATTCTATGTACCTTTCATTGGATTGTCTATGGTGCACCGATTCAGCAAGCGGCGTGATTCTCTCCTGCCTGTCATCATGGCCAATATCTATCTGTTGGTCCCTCCTGTGCTCAACCCCATCGTGTATGGAGTGAAGACAAAGGAGATCCGGCAACGCATCCTTCGCCTTTTCCATGTGACTACATCGACTTCAGATTCCTAGGTGTTCAGTAGTGAAACTTCTTTTTCATTCATGATTCTCTAATTCAGGTTTTAATGTTAACATTTTTGTAAGACAGGATTAAGAAAAAAACTCTTCCTTAAGAAAAAGAAAAGTAAGTGTCTTGAAGATAAACCTGGTACGGAATCTCCATGTGGACAGGGTTGATAGAACCATATACTATGGTTGGGGATTAGTATATTCCATTTCACCATATAATTCCAGTCTAAATCATTTCCACTGATGACCCACAGCTAACAAATAACATGTAGCAAAGACATAACATGGCTAAAAAAGTAAAATAAAATCACAAGAAAACAATAAAACTAGATTATATGGCTTAAAATTATGACGTTCTTTCTAGATCCCAACTATATTGTGTTTTGGAAAAATAGAAGTACCTGGAGTTCCTAAAAATGACTTCCACTGATAAGAGATGATTTATTTTTTTCTGAGCACTAATACATAAGGGGAAAGTTGGAAGTAGAGTCTTGAAAAGATAATGTGTCCTACATAAATAAAAGATGACACA